ACCTTTATTTAGGCGCGCGGTCGAAGGCGCCTCTATAAATAGATCCTTCCTTTAAGAAATAAATCTTTATCTCTTTGGGGGTTTCTGGTAATGAATTACCCAACTGAAAAGCTTTTGATCTGCGTTTCCTTTCGTTTTATAATGAGGTTTTAATTGCTTCATTTCACTGGTTAGAAAACCAACATTGCCGTGTTATGGTTATTTAGCTTATTTCAGTTACTTCAGCTGTTACTGTTGCGACTGCTTCTTCCTCCTGATCTGTTGTGGCTGCTTTTGCTTTTAATATTTTTGTCTTCAGATGTCATTAGAATGATTATTTACCTTTTTTTCATTCATGAAATTGTCATGCCATTTCGAGGCACTTGCTGGGCACTGATGGGATCTTTGTACAATTTCTGGGTGCCAATTATAAGTTTTCTTTTTGAACTTGAAAACAAGTTCTGAATTTCTTCTGGGCACAGACCACGCACGGAGACCCCACGTTCATTGACTCACTCGCACGAAGACACACACACACACACACACACACACACACACACACACACACACACACACACACACACACACACACACACACACACACACACACACACACACACACACACACACGTCCTCTAGCACTCGGATCCGGTTGGGAGGAGGAAGGAGGGGAACGTGGTGTCACCTTTAATCTGTTCTGAGTAGCCTAAATAACTTAAAAGTCACGGAAGACGGTGCGGTGAAAGGCGCGGGGATTTTGCAATAACAGGGACAGTTCTTGCGGATGTTTTTGTTATCATTATTATACTTTTGGATATTATTATTGTTGTTGTCTTTTTCTTTATTGTTGCTGCTGTTTTTGTTGTCATGTTTTTATGTTATTATTCTGTATCATTTTTATAATATTATGGTCGTCATTTGTGCTTGCTTCGTGATTTTTGTTATATTTATAATTTTGATAACAAAATTATAAATATAACACCTTCAGAAAGAAATCCACTGCTGACCAAAAGAGAGAAAAAAAATCGCAGCTACAGAGACACTGCACGTCGACACTCGTCTCTGAATATCATTATTCGGAAAAAGGGGAAAAAATATTTATGTATATAATGGAACACGAATCGGACAACTGACCAAAATGGCACGGGCTCACATTTGCTGAATGCTGAACAGTTTCACGGAAGTTGGAATTCAAATTTGTTTGCTGGGAAAATAATAATGTTTTATGACCATTTACCACACCATGTTCCTTCTGATATTATTTCGTTTTCGTTTACTATTACTTTCTTAAGGGTTATTTATGATTATATATATATATATATATATATATATATATATATATATATATATATATGTATATATAATATGTGTGTGTGTGTGTGTGTGTGTGTGTGTGTGTTGTGTGTGTGTGTGTGTGTGTGGTGTGTATGTACACGATGTCCGTGACGAAATAAACTCTCTATATTTTGGTGTTTTGCATTGTAAAAATATGTGTTCATTTAGTTTTCTCAAAAGCAAATGGAATATGAGATCTGACTTTTAATTTTGTTTCTCCGATACAGTTGGTTCAAAGTAAGGGGTAAAATGGAGGCATTTGGCCGGAGTGGAGACTCACTTTCAAGCGTGAAAATTAGTGTCCAGGCTCACTCACTCACTCACTCTCTCTCTCTCTCTCTCTCTCTCTCTCTCTCTTCTCTCTCTCTCTCTCTCTCTCTCTCTCTCTCTCTCTCTCTCTCTCTCTCTCTCTCTCGCTCTCTATCTATCTCTCTCCCCTTCAACCTGTCATCTTCCCCTCTCCCTCCTCCCTTACTCTCTCCCTCTTCCTCTCCCTCTCTAATTCATTTTTGACAAGCCCTTGCTCGTAGTCTGAAAGGTTTTAGACCGCAGCGGAAGTGAGCTAATGGTTAAAACAAAGTCTAGGATCAAGAAAGGATCCGTTACTCCGTGTCCTAAATTCATAATGGCGAACCGAACGTAAATTTGTAATTTTGAACATCACTGTTTGGGTAATTTGTGGTTTGAGAAACAGGACATGACGTTAATGCCAGGGGAATGTTTCCTGATTTGCATTTTGAAATGGACCATCATAAGCTTGGAAATGTTGAAATAGAAGTTCACGTGCGGTGGGGTTTTGTCGAATACTGGATACACGGGCGCGCGCGCACACATACACACAAACACACATATATGTATATATATATATATATATATATATATATAATATATTTATATAATATATATATATATATATTATATATATATATATAATATATATATATATACACACACATGTATTTACATTTATGTATACGTGTGTAGTGTGTGTGTGTGTGTGTGTGTGTGTGTGTGTGTGTGTGTGTGTGTGTGTGTTTATATATGTGCGTGTGTTTATATAAGTACATATGTGTATATATAATATATATAATATATATTATATATATAACATGTATACATTATGTAATATATATACATACATTAACATATTTCTATGATGGAATAATGCATTGCCGCGTTGATAGGGTAAATCTCTACCCTTCCTGACCAGTTTCATTCCTGCAGTAGCCCAGGTTCGAGCCCTAGTCAGGGAGGGTAGTTATTTATATATATAAGTATATATACATATGCATTGTAATTTATGCCCATTCTTATACATCTGTCCGACTACTGATAAATGGATATTGCACAATCCCGCTATTCAACAAAGCATTTATGTACGATATGTGCAAATATGTTTCTTTCAAATGCTAGAATCATTAAAATGACTGTGCCTCACCTTGCCACTCAAACTGTGGTAGGGTGCCCTTGCCGGTATTCGAGCTGTAGGTTGCCGCAACGTGGCTTTTCCAGGAAAGAAAGACACATTATAATTGTATGATTTAAATAGGAAGCATTCGTCGACTTATATGCTATTTATTATATTTCCGGTCTGAATTAATATGACTACGCATGTTAAAATCATATTTTCCGGATCGGAAACAAATAACGATACGGCTCAGATGTGCTCTGGTTCCTGTTGCACTGGAAGCAAATGGCTGTCCGCAGCATGATGGCATAATATTAAACAAAATGAAAATCACCTAAGATGTATTGTTAAGGATAAGCACAATTTTAATTCCGTCAACTGTAGAAAGGCACGACTTTGACGGCAAAATATTTAAAACTTTTTGCTCATTTTTGATTTGACGGAACGAAGAATAAAATACAAGGAATAGGACCACAAGCAAATCAAATCGATGATTCAATTAGAGCAAGACAGATCTTCAATGTACTAAATTCCCAAACCGTAGGTAGTCGCGCTTTAATTGTCGTTATGGCGGTTTGTCGAACTCGATTGACAACGCAATATATTAGTGTGCCCCTAAACATGACAGCGTTATGTCGTGCATATGTTTCAGCTTGCATTTCACTGTGACAGTTATGTATGGGATTATATGTCAGCACATACAATGAACATAGTCATATATGGAGTAGTTTAAGTGGATTTGTTATAGGGGTGTGAAGCATGTTATTTACGATCATAATGATTACTGCCATTTATGCCATAGTTTATAGTATTTTTTGGTATATTATTGTAGGGTCAAAACCATTAACACGAATTTAATCATACATTTAGTTACATTTTATGTCGAGTTCCCTTCTCTACAGCGAGTCACAAATTATGTCGTATTAATATTTAAATTTGTGGTATTGCCCTTGCTGTTATAGTTGTGTGATTTTTGTAAATTACCTATTTTCAGTTAAAAAAATGATCACTTAATATCATCATAACCATAATCTTACCGGACATTACATCATATTATTTTCATAGCGGAGAGAAAAGTATTTTCCTTATTACTACGGTAGTGAATCCGGTTTGGGTTGTTGTGAAAATATAACAAGATCAATGGAAATATTTACTTTTCAATTGCGTAACAGATTCGAAATGGATGTTGGCCACGGAGCATTTTCATCCTTTCTGGTTTCGAAACAAATTTCCTTATACATAGAAAAAATAAGTTTTTGGATGTATAGCTGTGCATCCCTGCGTGCGTATTGTTGAAATGAACTTTTTACTCAAATAAAGGACAGACCATTGTTTATTTCGTGATGATGAAATTTATATCTATACGAGAGAAATTACAGCCGCATTGGTGTGTTATGTTTTTAACGTGTTTTCGTTGCCGCTGCCTACGAAAATGTCAGTTTTTTCGAATAAGGAAAATGTGCTGTATATTGTAGGGCCCGTGTAGTCTCCACAAAACAAACATGCACATGCAAATACGCACTCACTCACTCCCTCACTCATTTACTCACACACACACACACACACACACACACACACACACACACACACACACACACACACACACACACACACACACACACACACACACACACACACACACGTCACTCTCTCTCTCTCTCTCTCTCTCTCTCTCTCTCTCTCTCTCTCTCTCTCTCTCTCTCTCTCTCTCACACACACACACACACACACACACACACACACACACACACACACACACACACACACACACACACACACACACACACACACACACACACACACACACACACATAAGGTATACTTGGCTTTATTAACGCGTGTTATAAAGGCCGATTCCACGAGCAAATAAAACGGCGTATTGCACACATGAACAATAGCACCAATTCAGCATATCCTTGCTTTGCAAACTGGTCATCACTGCCATAACTGACCGATTTGTACTGCACTATACAGGGACCATAACGACGGTCGTTATATAAGGTACAGCACAATTGTGAATTAATTCCAGAGCAAGGCGTATTGATTTGACGCTTTGAATATTCAGTAGCGTTGTGTAAGCCTATATTGATAAATAGATTTTTAAGTCCACGTTCGGTTTATATTTAGATATTCATTTGGAAATATCAATATTTGATGAATGTTACTTGTATATGTGAATGATGCCAAGTTCAATTGAATTTTGATAAGCCTACACGCAATCCCACCCTTCTAACAGTGCATAGTATAAATTATAAAATACACCCTTCTTCGTTTTCAGGTATTCAATTTATCACAACATGGTGAAATAAGTCACTTCCTACCTCGTGTGATGGAGCTAGGATGGGCAGACCAGCTGGCACCAGCTTTGGAGAGGCTGTGCTCCATCTGCAAGGCGCTCGACTCCTGGATCACGCAACATCCTCAACATGTGGCTGTTCTGCATGCCAGGTGAGGTGCAGGTCGTCACTGTTATGTGTTCCTACTGTGTAAAGGTTCCTGGTAGTGTTTAGTGTTGCTGTAAACGTGCTAAGGTTACTGGTGGTGTTATTGTAGTGTTATTATGATTACGTCTGTTGTTAGTAGTTGCTGTTGTTGTTGATAATGTTGCCGCTCCAACTACTACCTTTACTATATTACTACTATTACTACGGTTTCTATTTATTATTATTATTATTATTATTATTATTATTATTATTATTATTATTATTATTATTATTATTATTATTATTATTATTATTATTATTATTATACTTTTATTAGTAGTAGTAGTAGTCATAGTAGTTTATTGCTACTACTATTACTATTACTATTACTATTACTATTACTATTACTATTACTATTACTACTACTATTACTACTACTATTACTACTACTATTACTACTCTACTACTACTACTACTACTACTACTACTACTACTACTACTACTACTACTACTACTACTACTACTACTACTACTACTACTACTACTACTACAACTACTACTACAACTACTACTACTACTACTACTACTACTACTACTACACTACACTACTACTACTACTACTACTACTACTACTACTACTACTACTACTACTACTACTACTACTACTACTACTACTACTACTACTACCACCACCACTACCACCTATACTACTACTACTACTACTACTACTACTACTACTACTACTACTACTACTACTACTACTACTACTACTACTACTACTACTACTACTACTACTACTACTACTACTACCTACCACTACTACTACTACCTACTACTATACTACTACCTACTACTACTACTACTATACTACTACTACTACTACTACTACTACTACTACTACTACTACTACTACTACTACTACTACTACTGCTTTTACTACTACTGCAGCTACTGCTGCTGCTGCTGCTGCTGCTGCTGCTGCTGCTCCATTACTATTACAACAACAACTACTACTACTACTACTGTTACTATTGCTACTACTACTACTGTTACAACTACTACTGTTACTACTTCTACTGTTACTACTACTACTACTACTATTACTACTACTACTACTTTGCTACTATTACTACTACCTCTATTACTACTACTAGTACTAGTACTACTACTAGTACTACTACCATTATTACAACTACTACTATTACGACTACTACTATTACGACTAGTACTATTATTACTTCTACCTACGACTACGACTACAATTCTTTTGCTTCTACTGCTTCTACTATTTTTACTATTTCTGCTTCTCCTACTTCTACCCCTGCTGCTTGTATTCAATTACCTATTTCATTATTATTTTATTTTGTTGGTGCTTTTTCGCTTATGTAATAATAAATTTAGTTAAGAGCAGTGTTTCACATTATTTGAAAGAGCTATTTATTTAATCCTTTTTTATTGTCAAAGGGATGCTAAACAGAAAAGTAGTCAAACAGGTAAAGGGTGAGAGAGTCAAAGTGTAATTAAGATGTATAATGACATTTTATTCATCCATTTTTGATATGTTGTGTTTGAGTAAGAGAATAAGAGAGGTTTGCTTATGTATTCATTGGCATGAGACATTCATTTTCTTTGTTTTAGCAGTATGTGTAGTTTGTGTCATTTATGTTACTTCAAGATTATTGGTATAGTGGATGACTGATAAGTCAGACCTTGATTAAAATGATGGATTTCAACACAAACACCTTCACTTATTGTAAATGTGCAAAATACTACTACTGAATTTTTGCATTTTTAGAGATATGCTCCCATTATGGGGGGTTTGGGTGGAAATCTTAACTGATTTGACTGTGCATTCCAGAGGGGGCTATGAAAAGCTGGGTGTGGTGGTTGCAGCCTATATGCACTACAGCAACATCTGTGCTTCAACAGACCAAGCTCTCGACAGATATGCCATGAAACGTTTCTTTGATGATAAGATCGGCCAACTCTACCATCCTTCGCAAAAAAGGTGAGTGGAGGAAGAGGAGGAGGATGATTTGAACGGAATCCTGTTTTGCACTGGAAGGAGGATGAGTGAAAATATAGTCTAAAAAGGATATGTAAGCCTGTGGTTAATGTAGGAGAATGAATTATGTAGTTAAGTGAATTACCAAATGCTTTTCTTTTCTTATTTTTTATTTATTATTATTTATATTTTATTCATTTTTCCTATATATGATTTTTATGTCACCATTTTTGATATTTACCCTATGGCATCTATTTGAATCTGAGTTATAATATACTGGTAATGTAGATTAACTTTCAAATGACATAATGAATTCAAAAGTAAAAAAAAAGACAACTGGATTTTTTTTTTTTTTTTGCAATGTCACATTTAGAATGTTATACAAGTGTACATGATGGTCAGTGATAATTTATTTAGTATAGTGCCAGTTTATCCAACAATAAACTATATTGGACAAATGACAAATGATAGAGTGATCCAGAAATAGGAGAAAGTTGCAACAGAAAAAGAAGTGTTGAAAGAATTGAAGAGGAAGGCAGTAAAGAGGGGGAAAAAAAGAATGTCAGTGGAAAATTTGAGTGGAAGCATAATGGAACGGTAGAGTCTGAGGTTGATTAACATG